TAGTCAAAGCGCAAAGCCTTTTGGAGTATCCGCTCTCAGAATGGATTACAACTATGGACGGTAATCCTTTTGCAATTGAACTTCCTTGATAATTGCTCTCCAGTCAGCTTTTAACATATAGTGAAGACTACAGTTGTATTATGAACCTTTTGCAGATGGATTTGCTGCCACATTTTGAGACGCGGCCTACAACGGTGCAGAAAGTTGTTGATCCTTTTGTCGATCTTGGTCATCTAGTCATCGTTGATCGCGACAACATCGAAGGGGATGTCTCGTAAGTTCAGCAGTTTCGTACTACTATCTATCTACTTATTTTTATCGCTTTATGGTTCATGCCATTCAGGGAAAAGCTTCTGTCTCGAGCCCGGAATAATGCGCAGTATCTATTCAACAAAATTTGGGAGCTGAATCGTAAACATGTGGAAGAAGCGGTCATGGCTGAGCTCCCAAAATCATCATTCATTCTGCCAAGAGAGAAGAAGGTTAGTTTGGAGAGTATGCGTTGCACTACTGTAGTTAAAAGTTGATTTCTTTCAGATTCCTGAGAAGAAAGAGCCGACAAAATGGGAGAAGTACGCAGCAGCTAAAGGAATCACCAAGAAGAAGAAGACCAAAAAGGTTTGTTTCATAGTCTTCTGCTTTCCTTTTTGTTTGTTTTTTGTTTCACTTTTGAATTCCATCACTTTTTTCTATCTAGTGTTTCACATAAATTGTAGAAAAGAATTATTTAACTATTACATTTTAGGTGTTTGATGAAGCAACGAAAGAGTGGAAGCCAACCTATGGTTACAGGCGAGGAAACGATGATACGAAAGATTGGCTCATTGAAATTCCTGATAATGCTGGTAAGCTTTTGCTTTTTAGATTCAAACACTGGTGATGATTTTCTTCTTAAGTTCACTATTCTCGCACATTTTTTTTCAGTTTTCAGTTTCCTTTTTTTGCTTTTTTGATGTCGGTCTCTTCTTTTTTCTGAAGGGTTCGATGTTTGCAGATCCCAACAAGGACTATTTCGCTGAAAGAGTTGACAAAAAGAAGGAGCGAATTGCAAAGAATGAGACTCAACGGCTGAAAAATATGGCCCGACAACTGGGTTCTACAGTGAGAAAAGGACCCTCAGTTGATCCTAGCATCGGAGTTGGAGTAGCGCCAGAAGAAAAATCCAAAGAGCAGGTGAGTCTTAGCGTTCTCCTTGAGAGCCTAAAATGATCGTCTAAACGCTTCAGTTACGATTTGCTGTTGATCGTGCAAAAGCTGCTACCGCTTCGGCAGGAAAATTCCAACGTTTGGCCA